AATCTCTTGAACCTAGGAGGCAGAGGTTACAGTGAGCCGGGGTCACGCCACTGTACTTCAGTCTGGGCAACAGAGTGAGACCCTCTCTCAAAAAAAAAAAATTTTTTTTTTCTGGGCGCTACAGAAAGCAATTTGGCATGGTTATAAGCTTTAGTCATAATTTGTTTATGTAAGCAAAATGTTCACAATCTTTAAAAGAGAGGTTTAAATATTTCTTCCAACTAATGCACATAAAATTGTGGTTATTTTCAAATATAAATTTAGGTTACATTGACATAATTTCATTTGGGCCAAAACAACAAATATAAATAAAGCTTAATTTTAAAAATTCAAGAATAACACAGTATTCCCATCATGATTTTATAAATAAACTACTGCACAATAATTCCACTCTGGAAACTTAACTGTAAGTATCACACTGATTTAGAAAATAGCTCATTTTCTTTTTTTTTTTTTTTTTTTTTTTTGAGACGGAGTCTCGCTCTGTCGCCTGGGCTGGAGTGCAGTGGCCGGATCTCAGCTCACTGCAAGCTCCGCCTCCCGTGTTTACGCCATTCTCCTGCCTCAGCCTCCCGAGTAGCTGGGACTACAGGAGCCCGCCACCTCGCCCGGCTAGTTTTTTGTAGTTTTTAGTAGAGACGGGGTTTCACCGTGTTAGCCAGGATGGTCTCGATCTCCTGACCTCGTGATCCACCCGTCTCGGCCTCCCAAAGTGCTGGGATTACAGGCTTGAGCCACCGCGCCCGGCCGAAAATAGCTCATTTTCAAAAACAAATTAGGTATTAGAGGATACAGATTTACAAACAATTAGAAAATAAATTCTCCTTCAAATCTGGGTATTTGGTTAAAAAAAAAGAAAAAGAACGGGAGGGAGGGAGGGAGGGAGGGAAGGCAGGCAGGCAGGCAGGCAGGCAGGCAGGCAGGCAGGCAGGCAGGCAGGCAAACAAAACTGAAAAATATCAGTACAAATTAATGTGCAAAATCAGTCCCAAAACCTCCCTCCAATCTTTCCTTCCCAGTAGATACTGTATCAGACTTGCCTTTACCTTCTCTAGGTCTCCAGGAGCAATCTGCAGAGCAGAATTCACCTCCAGAGAAAAAATACCAGATTCCCTCTAACAACACCCACTTCACTAATTTCAGTGCCTTAGAGAGCAAGATATCCTAAGGGTTTTTGGTTTTCTCTTTTTCTTCTCTTTCTGTTAACTGAATATCCTAAGATTCTGTAGCTAGGACTCAAATATGTACTTATGGCAGGCTGAGTTGGAAATCAACATACTAAAGTAACAATTTCAGGTGCCCTGTGAGCTACATTAGCTTCGACCAGATTAATTGGAGAATTTAACGTGGATTTATATAATTTTTTCCCTACAGGAAAAAAGCTCCAAAAATTGCATTATTTTGGAATTTAGTTTATAATTGCCTGTATAATAAAATACTGAGTCAAAACAAAGAGATTCACAAAGGAAAAAAACAACATACCGCTGACTTCACTAACAATAGATATTACAGTGTCTGTCTAGCCAGCTAGAGAATAGCAACTGCTAAATTATAAACTATTTGGAATTAGTTGATTGACAGCTTAATAAAGTTTATGGCAACTAGACTCAAGAGAAGACATTTTCATTAAAGAAGACAACGGTTGAAAACAGTTTAAGGTCATATAATTGTTGAAATCTTAATAATATAACACATTACAGAACATATCTCATCATGGAATCTTGTAACTGATAATTAACAAGTTTAAAATATTATTTGCCATTACCAAACAGAATAAAGAATAATTGTAGAATGTATAGATTATTATTATCATTATTATTATTATTATTTTGAGACAGAGTCTCACTCTTTCCCCTAGGCTGGAATGCAGCGGTGCGATCTCGGCTCACTGCAAGCTCCGCCTCCTGGGTTCAGGTCATTCTTCTGCCTCAGCCTCCTGAGTAGCTGGGACTACAGGTGCCCCCCACCACGCCAGGCTAATTTTTGTATTTTCAGTAGAGACGGGGTTTCACCTTGTTAGCCAGGATGGTCTCGATCTCCTGACCCCGTGATCCGCCTGCCTCAGCCTCCCAAAGTCCTGAGATTACAGGCGTGAGTCACCACGCCTGGCCCAGAATGTGTAGATTATTTTTTAACCGGTGTAGTAGTATGAGTATTACTCATTTAGGTATAGACATTTTAAAGGCATATTATGATTCACAAATAGCATACTGTATTTAAATGCATTCAAATATAACATGCATAAAGTAATTTAAAAGAAAAATACTACTTTGCAATAAAAAATAACCAGTCCAGGCATAGTGGCTCATGCCTATAATGCCAACACTTTGGAAGCCAAAGCAGTAGGATCCCTTGAGTCCGGGAGTTCGAGACCGGCCTGGGCAATACAGTGAGACCTCGTTTCTACAAAACCCTAAAAAAAAAAGTTAGCAGAGAGTGGTGGTGCACACCTGTCATCCCAGCTACTCGGGAGACTGAGGTGAGAGGATGGCTTGAGCCCAGAAGGCAGAGGTTGGAGTGGGTCAAGATGGTGCCACTGCACTCCAGCCTGGGTGACAGAGAGAAACTCGATCTCAAAACAAACAACAACAACAAAACCCACCAATAAAAATAACCAATATAATAAGATCAGGAAGTTTAAAGTGGAGGTAATAAGATCAGAAGTTTAATGGAGAAAAAAAAAATATTTGCATCTGTCTCTGTGTGCCAAATATTTTACCTCATTTAATATTCACAAATACCACACAAAATAGGCATTTCTATTTTTTCCCTTTTCACAGAAGAACTCAAACTAAAGGTAACAACATCTCTGGGCCTAGAGAAACAGTAAATGGCAGACTCAGGGTTTGAATCCATATCTCGTTGATGCTAAAGTCTTTGCCCCTTCCCCTATCATGCTATTTAAGAGAGATCACATATATTAAACAAAAATTTGAAATCACTCCCATTTTTCACTTATTTATTTATTTATTTCTAAGACGGAGTCTCGCTCTGTCGCCCAGGCTGGAGTGCAGTGGCCAGGCTCTTTAATTTTTAAAAGACAACTGAGAAGGCCGGGCATGGTGGCTCAAGCCTGTAATCCCAGCACTTTGGGAGACCGAGGTGGGAGGATCACCTGAGGTCAGGAGTTCGAGACCAGCCTGACCAACATGGTGAAACCTTGTCTCTACTAAAAATGCAAAAAAATATTAGCAGGGCATGGTAGCCTGTGCCTGTAATCCCAGCTACTTAGGAGGCTGAGGCAGGAAAATCGCTTGAACCTGGGAGGCGGAGGTTGCAGTGAGCCGAGATCTCACTACTGCACTCCAGCCTGGTGACAGGGTGAGACTGTCTCAAAAACAAAAACATAACAAAACAGAAAAAACAACAAAAGAAAGTAAAGAGAACCAACAAAAAAAATTTTTTAAAGAGGATGTAAATGTCACGTATTTTTTTAGTTGGACTAGTTCCACTTTGACACCTAAAAATGATCAATTTTTTTTTTTTTTTGAGACGGAGTTTCGCTTTGTCGCCCAGATTGGATTTCAGTGGCGCGATCTCTGCTTACTGCAACCTCCACCTTCCGGTTTCAAGCGATTCTCCTGCCTCAGTCTAAGGAGTAGCTGGGATTACACGCGCCCGCCACCACGCCAGGCTAATTTTTGTATTTTTAGTAGAGATGAGGTTTCGCCATGTTAGCCAGGCTGGTCTCGAACTCCTGACCTCGTGATCTGCCAGCCTCGGCCTCCCAAAGTGCTGGAATTACAGGAGGGAGTCACCGCGCCCGGCAAAATGATCAATATTTATAAATACATCTGTACAACACATAATGACTTGTTGAACTCATCTAACCTTCTCTGCATGCTATTTAGGGAATAAAATACAGGTTGCTTGTTATGAACATATAAGGAGAGAAGCAAAAGCCCAATGTTAATATTGGCCATATCCTAGAAGAGGAGAAAATTAGAAGTTCTAGGTCAAAAAAACTTTTGTTGGTTACAGAGTTTCAGGGCGATTTCACTAGAGGCCACCAATGGTCGCCTCTTCTGTTTCTAGATATCTTGGTTTCCTTCTTTCCCAAGCATTCCCCAGATTGTCCATGAAGCCTTTTTTTTTTCACAGTGTCAGTGCAGCTAACCAACCATACATCAGGCCCAAAATTGTTAAAAGAATTGAACTGGTAACCTGTCTTAAAGCAAAAGGAAAAAAAGTAACAGGATTTTACAGTTGGGAGGTGTTTTATATCCTGAGAAAATCTGGGTTCAGAGACTCTTTTTACTGTATTACAAGGGCTAAATGAGGCTGGGAGAGAGGAAGTGACCGAGGGCCGAGCGTGAGCTGGCAGCAGGGCCAAAGGTTTAAGCTTGATCTCAGAACTGCACTCCCGGCTTTCCCCATCCCCGTCCCGGGCCGAGCCTCAGGGCTGGCCCCGCCCTAAAGCTTGCGGGGACTGGGCTCGAGAGCGCCAGCCGCAGCCCACAGCACGCCTAAAATAACACCCCGCCCCACGGGGCTCCTTTCTACGGTAAAGACAGGTTAGGTGACAGTGCAGAGTTTAGAGAACCAGAGGGAAGGCACGGAGAAGAAAAATAGGTCTCCCCTTCCGGCAACTGCGGGCGCACACGGCCTCTAACCCAAATCCGCGCTCCTGGTGCCTTCACCCACCACACGATCAGCTACGTGCTAACCTCTGCGCGCTGGGGGACCCCCAAAGGTTGGCCTCCGGGATCCCTCTCCCAGTCCACTCTAGAGACGAATCTGGTCCCCAAAATGTAAGAAAAGAAGGGGCGCAGGAACAAAGCGACCCCAAACGGTGCCCCCCAAGGCGAGCGGGCGCGGACTACGAGTCCCGGCATGCCGCGCGCTGGCGGCCCTCGGCCACCGCCACGCGGGCGCCGCGGTGGCCGCCGGGACTCGTAGTCTGCGGCCCGGCGACTCCGGGGGGCGGACCAGGGGCGGCGGGACAGGCCGGCCCGCGTCGCGTCAAGCCCCAAGGAGCCAGCCGGCTGCCCGAGCCTCACCTCGACGATGCGGGCGCACTGGGTCCCCTTGCCGGCGCCGGGGCCGCCGAGGACGAACACTACCAGCGGCTTCATGAGACGGGGAGGGCAGAAGAGAATCGGCCGGCGGGTCTGCAGCAGGAAGCTAAGGCCCAGGACGTGGAGCAGTCGGCTGCGGCAGCGGCTCAGCATACACAGCTGCTCGGCCGGACGCTGAGGGAGCTGACAGCGGCCGGCGAGGCGCGGGGCGGGGCAGGGAGGCGGTGGGAGAAAGGGGCGGGCTGAGCCGGCGCCCGCCGCGGCCCCGCCGCCGTGGCTGCCCAGGCGTCCGCGGCGCGGTCGGAAGGGGAGGAGCTTCGCGCAGCGGCTGCGTCTCGGGGACAGTCTTGCAGTCCGCGCCAGGTTTCCTCCACCCGTTAGGTGGTTATTAGCGCTTTCTGACAGCAGATGTTTTATCCTGCGCCCCCAAGTGTCTGGTGCTGACCTGGAGGCTGGGACGTGATCCGCGGGAGAGCAAAACCCATTGTCTCTGCTCGCAAGGAGTTTCCATTCCAGCCAGTGAGGTACGCGGAGGTAGCCGGTGTGAATGAGTAAACACTAGTACATACAAACGGCAGTACGATTTTGAAGAAATAACAAGTAGGACATAAGATGGCCAGTGTCGCCAGAGAAGGCTTCAGAAGAGGTGACATTCAAGCCAAGACAAAAGGATAGAAAAGAGCGAAACCAGGCAAACACCAGGATAGAGTGTCCGACAGAGAAAAGCATGTGCAAAAAATCTAAGTTGGCTTGGCATGTTAGAGCAACTGAAGGAAGGCCTGGCTGGGCGCGGTGGCTCACTCCTGTAATCCCAGCACGTCGGGAGGCTGAGGCAGGAAGGATCGCTTGAGTCCAGGAGTTCAAGACCAGCCTGGACAAAATGACGAGACCCCCGTCTCGACCAAAAATTTAAAAGCCGGGCTCCGTGACCCGTGCCTGTGATCGCACCACTGCACTAGGTGACAGTGAGACTGCTTCAAAAAAAGAAAAAGAAAAAAGGCCAGTGACAGTGAGACCAGGGCTGAGTTAAATGAGGGGAGAATGGAAGGTGAAAAGTTGAGAAAGGTCGGTGGCAGATCAGGACTTTTGGTTATGGAAAGGAATTTGGGCTGTATTCTAACTGCAGTGGAAGCCCTTTAACTCCGTTCGCCTCCTCCCTTCATTAGGGAAAAATCTTAAGGGAGAAGGAAAGGAGAAGTTCAAGAACTGAGCCTTGATGAATACAGGCCTTTAAAAGGCCTTCTGGCCAACGTTAAGAGCTCATTTGATATTTGAGGTAATGGATTTAAAATAATTGAAGATGTTTGGCCATTTCAGGCACAGGCAGAGAAGGCAGCTTGTTGCATTTATTGAGGGTTGGGGTTTTTCCTGGCAAGTACGACAGAGAGAGAGGGCCAAGTGATGAGAGTGTTTGCAAGATAATGTTTATGATGCTGTCTGTAGAATCAAAACCGTACAGGAAAGCAAATAATGGCACATGAAGCCTGGTAGTGGAGGGGTTGGAGGGTGGTGGGGAAAGGGACCAAGGTCTTAGAGCATTGACCCAAGAAAGGTTGCGGTGGGTTATATGAGCAAGTACGCTGGCAGTATAGATGCTGCTGGTCTGAGCGGGATATTTGGAATTGAAATGTCCCAACTTGTGAGTTTCTGATGATGCCAAGGTCCAGGGTGAGACCGTGGGAATGGAAGGCTGAGGCAGAATGCATGCCCTGTTTATAGAACTAAGAGTCCAGGGTATTAGATTTGTCGTACAGGTACAAATTCAAGTCAGATAGTACTGGAGTGAACAGAGACTATGGGAAAGGAACTAAGCTATTGAGAGCAAAGTGACCAGGATGTTAGTAAATGAAAGCAAACAGGAGAGGAAGATGGTGGTATAGCCCTCTGTCTGAGCACCCCCATTCTCCTTTTTCTTTTGGTGCTCCTTTCTTAGCTCACTCAGTGGTTTCTGACTCTTCCCCATCTCCACTGTCTCTCCTTGCTTTCTTTTTGTTGTTGTTGTTTTTACTTATTCCCATCCTTCCTGCCCTTCTTTTCCCATTTATAAGTCCCTCCCTTCTCCCTGTCTCTTTTCCTGTCCTTCTCCTCACCTACTTGCCTTTGTTTGCCCTTCTTTTCCGTTCTCCCTTTAATTTTTACCTGTTTCCTCTCCACAACTTCTACCTTTTCCTTCCTACCATAGAAAGGAAAATGGGATATTTATGGGATATTTTGGATTATCACAGCTGGAAAAAAATATTTTTTTGGGGGGGATGGAGAGTCTCACTCTGTTGCCGAAGCTGGAGTGCAGTACTGTGATCTTGGCTCACTGCAACCTCCACCTCCCAGGTTCAAGTGATTCTTCTGCCTCAGCCTCCCAAGTAGCTAGGATTACAGGCACCTGCCACCACACCTGGTTAATTTTTGTATTTTTAGTAGAGACGGGGTTTTACCATGTTGTCCAGGCTTGTCTTGTACTCCTGGGCTCAAGCGATCCTCCTGCCTCAGCCTCCCTAAGTGCTGGGATTACAGGCATGAGCCACCGTGCCCAACCAGGCCTACACCACACTACAGGTGGTGGTGTGCACCTGTAGTCCCAGCTGCTCGGAAGGCTGAGATGGGAGACTGAGATGGGGGATCCCTTGAGCCCAGGAGGTGGAGGCTGAGGTGGGAGGAGCCCTTGAGCCCAGGAGGTGCAAACTCCAGTGAGCCAAGATCGTGCTACTGCATTCTAGCCTGGGCAACAGAGCCAGACCCTGTCTCAAAACAAAAACATTTTTCTATGGATACTGAAATTTGAATTTATATAATTTGCATGTGTCCCAAAATATTATTTCTTTTATTTTTAAAATCCATTTTAAAATGTGAAAATTATTTTGAGCTTGAAGGCTATACAAAAACAGGGACCCACGTTTAGATATGTGAATTTTCACATTAAAAAAACATGGCCGGGCGCTGTGGCTCATGCCTGTAATTCCAGCACTTTGGGAGGCCGAGGCGGGCAGATCACCTGAGGTTGGAAGTTCGAAACCAGCCTGGTTAACATGGTGAAACCCCGTTTCTACTAAAAATACAAAATTAGCTGGGTGTGGTGGTGTGCGCCTGTAATCCCAGCTACTTGGGGGGCCGAGGCAGGAGAGTCGCTTGAACCCAGCAGGCAGAGGTTGCAGTGAGCCGAGACCGGGAGGCAGAGGTTGCAGTGAGCTGAGATCGCACCACTGCACTCCAGCGTGGTGACAGAGCGAGACGCTGTCTCAAAAAAAAGAAGGCGGCTCCAAACCCTTCAGCTTCTGGAGAGGAGGAGCTAGGACATGGGCAGCCAAGAACAAGGACAACTGGTCATATTGGGAATGAGTAGCAGGAGTGTGAAAAAAGCCATATCAAAACAAATGTGCCTTCTTTTCCTTTGTTCACACAGTTAGAGTTAAAAGATCTTAAGGATATGGTGTCTGTGAGACACCATACTTGGCATACTTTTAGTGAAAGCCTTAGGACAGAAACAAAAGGACAATCTTTGTTGTTTCCATGACGGAACACCAGAACTATGGATTCCACACAGGGGTTTGGGTCTGAAACTTCCTTGTATGCCTACTTAAAGCAATATGTAGTGATTTTTTTTCACAGAGAAAAAAATCTTTCTGGATAATTATGACCACAGGTGGTTGGGTACTTAATGTCCTGTTCCTTGCCTGTCTCCTTCTGCCAGTTATGTTAGGCAACTAAGGAAAATATTAATGTGGAAAGATTTCTCAAAACTGAAACCCAGACACCCATCCCTGCCAAGGGTTTTCCAGGGAATCATTTCCAGGAATGACAAGGTAAGGCAAAAAAAAACACTTTATGGGCTGGGCGAGGTGGTTCACACCTGTAATCTCAGCATTTTGGGAGGCTGAGGTGGGTGGATCATGAGGTCCAGAGATAAAGACCATCCTGGCTAACACGGTGAAACCCCATCCCTACTGAAAATACAAAAAAAATTAGCCGGGCGTGGTGGCACATGCCTGTAGTCCCAGCTACTCAGGAGGCTGAGGCAGGAGAATGGTGTGAACTCGGGAGGCAGAGCTTGCAGTGAGCCAAGATTGCGCCGCTGCACTCTAGTCTGAGCTACAGAGCAAAACTCCATCTAAAAAACCAAAAAAAAAAAAAAAAAACACACCACTTTATGACTAGTTGGCCCTTTGAGTTTGTTCCGGTTATCTGTTGCTACAAAACAGCCATTCCCAAAACAATAGCTTAAAACAAGAAACATTCTTTTGTTTGTTTGTTTGTTTGTTTTGAGACAGTTTCACTCTTGTTGCCCAGGCTGGAGTGCAATGGCACAATCTCAGCTTACCACAACCTCTGCCTTCTGGGTTCAAGCAGTTCTCTTGCCTTAGCCTCCCAAGTAGCTGGGATTACAGGCATACACCACCACTCCTGGCTAATTTTTTCGTATTTTTAGTAGAGACAGGGTTTCTTCATGTTAATCAGACTGGTCTCAAACTCCCGACCTCAGGTCATCCGCCTGCCTTGGCCTCGCAAAGTGCTGCGATTACAGGCATGAGCCACCAAGCCCTGCCTTTTTGTTGTTGTTTTGTTGTTGTTACTGAGACGGAGTCTTGCTCTGTCTCCTGGGCTGGCATTGCAGTGGCACAATCTCAGCTCACTGCAACTTCCACCTCCCAGGTTCAAGCAATTCTCCTGTCTCAGCCTCCTGGGTAGCTGGGATTACAGGCACCTGCCACCATGCCTGTCTTATTTTTGTATTTTTAATAGAGACGGGGTTTCACCATGTTGGCCAGGCTGGTCTCAAACTCCTGACCTCAAGCAATCCGCCTGCCTCAGCCTCCCAAGTGCTGGGATTACAGGCGTGAGCCACGGTGCCTGGCCAAAACAAGAAACATTTATTTTCCTTATGCCCTGAAAATTGGGCTGGGCCCAGTGGGGACAGCTCATCTTCATCCCACATGGCATCAGCTGGGGCAGCTCAACTGAGGGCTGGAGAATCCATATCCAAGAAGGCTCATTCACATGGCTGACAGAGGATATTTTTTTTTCCTCTTGTGAGTGTCAATACTTAATTTTGGTGTAGAGACGGGAAGCTGGAAAATACACTATTTAAATTTTACTTGGCTCCCCCTAACATTGTGGAAACCCTCTTTCCCTAAAGACCATGGGGTTTACCACTAGTTGCTTAGGTTTCTTTTTACAGCATGATGGCTGAATGTTACTCTTCAAGAGTAAACATTCCAGGAGATGGGGAGGAGAAACTGCCAGTTTTTAAAACCTGGGTTTAGAAACTGCCACAGCACCTCTTCTTTCACCATATTC